GTCAACTAAGAACAGTTTCTAATTTATTCAGAAGGAAAGAATGAAACATACATGGGGGGGGGGCAAGAAACCTTGTATTTTAGACTCAGATAGGAGACTTTGGGCCTGTGTGACCAGGTATACATGTTTCAGGTACTGAGGGAGGCGCTTAGGTGGCAGCAACCAGGCTCACTTTGGAGTGACTCACAAACTAGACATGGGATATCTTCTAAACGAGAGAGCCAGCAAGCAGCACAGAGGAAGAGCAAACTTAAAATGTAAGCTCAGAGCCTAGGGAATGACCGATGGGGGAGCTGCAGGGAACTTTAGTAACCACATAGTCCAAAGGTCCTATATTAAGAATCAAGAGTCATAAAAAGCCCTAGCTAGTTTGGCTCAGTGGATAGAGCGTCAGCCTGTGGACTGAAGGGTCCCAGGTTGGATTCCAGTCAAGGACACATGCCAGGGTTGCGGGCTCGATCCCCAGTAGGGGGCGTGTAAGAGGCAGCCAATCAAGGATTCTCTCTCATCATTGATGTTTCTATCTCTCTCCCCTTCTCCTTTCCTTTCTGAAATCAATAAAAATATATTAACAATATATTAACAATAATAAAAAAGTCATAAAAAGGTTCAACTCTTTGACTCAGTGATTTCACTTCTGGGAATCCATACTTAGGAAATAATCCCAAAGGTGGAGAACATTAAATACAAACGGATGTTTATTATAGCAATTTTTTACAATATTTCTTATTGATTTCAGAGAGGAAGGGAGAGGAGAGAGAAATCTCAGTGATGAGAGAATCACTGATGGGCTGCCTCCTGCACACCCGCTATGGGAATCAAGCCTGCAACCCGGGCAAGTGCCCTGGCCGGGAATTGAACCATGACCTCCTGGGTCATAGGTTGACGTTAGTCACTGAGCCAGTCATTTTTTAACTGTTAAAAAAAAATATTTTTGAAAATAGCCTGTCCAACAAAAGGGGAAAGTTATGGCATAGCCAACTTGATTAAATATTAGATATTACAATAATCATAAAGAAATGGAGAAATGTACATAAGTGGTTACAATCTAACAGTAAGCGAAGGACACACGACCAGAATTGTATGTACAATATAAATGTAAAAACATCTGCTGTGAGAAAAGACTACTCGGGCTTCCACACACAAATACAGCTGTGAGGGGGGGTGGGATTAAAGGTGACATTTCCACTTTTCGTAATGTTGACTTTCTAAACTGTAAAAAGAACACTTTGAAAATCTAACCAGTCCTTTTCTTTGAGTGGGCAATTTACGGGTCAGTGACCAGGCCCAGCCCAATGTTATCTGTAGGTCAAATAATGTCAATATAGCCCTAGCTGGTTTGGCTCAATGGATAGTGTCAGCCTGCAGACTGAAGGTCCCGGGTTCGATTCCGGTCAAGGGCACATGCCTGGGTTGCAGGCTCCATTCCCAGTAGGGGGCGTGGAGGAGGCAGCCGATCAATGATTCTCTCTCATCATTGATGTTTCTATCTCTCTCTCTCCCTCTCCCTTCCTCTCTGAAGTCAATAAAAAATATATTTTTAAAAAAAGAAAATTTCTAAAAAAAAAGTCAATATATTGAAGCTATCAGAGTAGCCTTCCTTCCCTTCCCTTTCCTTCCTTCCTTCCTTCCTTCCTTCCTTCTCTCCCCTCCTTCCTTCTCTTCCATCCATTAGGTTGTGTTTTGTTTCTGTGTTAATGTTGGTATAGGGAGTTCTTAGAAAATTGTTCCAGGGTCTGCATAGAAACCCTAGCAGCAAGTGGGGCTCAGGATCTTGGCAGCTCCAGAGACAGGAAGCACAGGAATGAAAGAGGGGACGGGCTACCTGCCGGAGTGGGAGAGCCTGTGCCTTTTGACCAGGTGTGTTTCCGCACATGGAGCTGTGTTCTCGGAGCTGTGACTCATCCTGGCAACCCATAAACCAGCCTCCCATAGACTCCTGACACCTGGGGAGTCACAGGATTAAGGTGGCTACAGACTGTTCCCGGCTCTCCCTTCTCAGTCACTCTCACAATCTCTCTTGCCTCCCACAGGGCAGGGAAGGTCAGCTCTGGGCCTGACAGAGGCTGACCCTCCAGCCAGAAGAACGGGAACCACCCAGTGGAGGCTGCGTTTCCACTCAGAGGGGCCTCCTGAGCCTGCACGGGGCTGTGGACAATCAGACCCGCCTGATTCGAGGCTGTAACGAAAGATGAACAACCACAGAGGCCCAAGGAAAGGAAACTCATTTGCAGAACCATAGGTATCAAGGTCCAAAGACTCCCCTTGGGGCCGGTTTCATCATTACTGAGCAGGTAAGAGCAGAAAGTGAAGCCCTGAGCAGGGCTGCCTAGCGCGTCCCACCCCCCTCAGAAGCCATAAAGGCCTTCGTGAATCTAAGCAACGAGTGAAAACTAGGACAGGTTAAACCCGGTGAGTTTATCATATTCTAACATTTGCTATCACCTCGAACCCAACTCTCTAATGAGCAGGATGTAGTGAGTCTGTTGGAAAAGCCCAGAGGCATGGGGCACCAGGGAAAGGATGCAGGAGGAGGAGCCAGCCCTTCGGTTTCGTCCCCAGCACCACCTTAAATACCTGGGTGACCTTGGCTAAGTCCACCTGCGGGGAGGACTTCCTTGAGCTGGTGGCTGGCGTGGCCAGAGTGACAGGCTGAGTTCGTGCCAGCTGGGAAAATGCTGATGGCCCCCAGGTGAGCCTTGGCAACTTTTAACCAGTCACCTTGGAATGAATTTTGTAGGCAGGTTTCTTGGACAAAGTGGCAAAACCATGCATGCCGTTAGTGGTCTACCACTGGCAAACAGCTCATGCAAATAAGTATTTCAATGTCTGTACATTAACCCTCACATCCCTCTGGTGCCTTCCTTCTCTTCTTTCAAGCACATGAAAAGTAACATGAATTACAAGTTCTCAACGTTTCTTTAAGAATGACTCTCCTTTCCTTTTACCCTCGCCTCTCATACACCCCTTACCCCAAACCACTTAGACGGGGACTGAAGACTCTCTCCTCATCCCCTTCCCATCCGATATCCACCAGGAAGCTCTGAGTGAGATCCAGGCTCCGGACAATAGGCAATGTCCTCTTCCCCCTCCATGAGTGTTTTACTGGTCCTGTGCTCCCCGTTTTCTAATGAGCTCTCAATCCCCGCAGGTGTAGGCAGGGATCCGTGTTGTCGGTGCAGAATGAGACCGCTCTCAGCCTCCCGAGTCCTTACCTTCTTGATCTGATCCTCCTTCAGCTTGCTGAAGTAAAACGCCATCAAGTGCACCGCAAACATTTTCCCCAAGTGTGGTTTCTCCTGAGGTGGTCAGAGACTTCTGTGCAGTTGGCTCGCTGGTCTCCTGAGTGCTGCCCACTTCCAGTTCAGGCTGGAGGCGCTGGGGAACTGGGTCTACAGATTAAATGCTTCCAGGCTGCTTCATTCAATGACTAAACTTTGCCCCCTCTCTCTGGTCCCTCCCTCCCAGCACACTTGATTGTCTAATAGGAGCCTGAGGGTGGCAGCTGAGGGCTGGTGGAGGCGAAGCAGGGGATGGGTTGCTTGACTCTGACATCTCGTTGCTAAGCAACTCTCTCAAGCCAGTGCCCCACCAAGCCCCCTCGGCCGAGGAAAAGCTTCTGAGAAGTTGGGTGTTAATACCAACTTTCAACAGCTGAGCTGCTCTGCACATGTCCATGCTCAGGCTTTCCTCTTCAGCCCCTTTCTCCTCAATCCCGCAGTGTAACTGTGACTCTCTGCTTCTTTGCAGCACTATTTTCACCAACAATAAAATATTTATATTAAACACTGTCCTGGCAGGGAGATTTCAAGAATGTTGGAACAAATTCTTCTATTTGTCATAGATCAGACCTCTTAGCTAATGGTCCATGGTAATGGAAAATAATCGATTAAGGTTTATCTATTCTCAATGTTAAGCCAGAAAACCTTGATTTCACAGGTAGTGACCCAGAAAAAAATATGCAAGAGAAAGAATGAACTGAAGTCATCAGTACTCACTGGGAAGCTGCTGCCAGAGAGAAAAACTGAAGTTAGAGCTGGGAAGCGTCTCATAGCATGAAGCTATTTGGTCATCTCACTCATCATACTTGAGAAAGGCCCAGAAAGGGGCCTTGCACTGGTCCCAGTCATTGGTCAGCTAACAAAATCATTAACAATAACAGTGGTGTTAACAGCAGCTAACATGGATGGAGCACTCACTATTCACATTTTTTAGATGAGAACACTGAGGCCCCAAAAGGTTAAGTGACTTACTCAAAATCGCAAAGCTTGTAAATGATACAGTGAGGACTTAAACCCAGGAGTTCGATACCAGGGCTCAACTCTTAACTAATACATAATATTACCTCTGTTCTTTCTCCTGGCAATAAATGCTCCACTGATAACTGTTAGTAGCAGCAGAATTCCGACTGCTTGGGAAACTAAGTACAGACATGTCATTTCAACAGGGTCTTTCCAGTGGGGGAAAAGGCAAATGAAGAAATTCTTGACCATACTTCCCAAATACTAATGAACCGCTTCCTGAAATTAGCAACTGACCAGATATTAATGATCAGCTGGGCACCTCCACCTCAATCCTACCTCACCTCTCCTCCTCAGTAGAAGGGAAGATCAACCAAAGGACTTGTATGCATGCATAGAAGCCTAACCAATGAACAAGTTACCAAGTCCTGGCGCAGGATTCTCGAGCAAGAGAATCGCATCCCTGGTGCATGTGTGAGGGATAAAATATGAGTAACAGGGATAGCATATACACATAAAGAACTATATTTAGTGGGGGGGGGGCAATGGCGGGGATAAGGACACATATGTAATACCTTAATCAATAAAGAAAAAAAAACTACAAGAAAAAAAAAAGAAGGGAAGAAACAGGCCAAGGTTGCAGGTTGGATCCCCAGTTGAGGTGCATGCAGGAGCCAATTGATCGGTTACTCTCTCACATTGATGTTTCTCTCTCTCTCTCCCTCTCTCTAAAATCAATAAATACTTTTTTTTTTTAAGTATGGCACCAACTGCCATTGATTTATTCAATACAGGGACAACAGGTTACAATGGCCAGTGGACAAAAGGAAACAGAGCCATAACCAAAGGTATCTGCCATCTCCTGGTGGCTTGTGTGCGCCAGGTGGGTAGCCTTTGGAATTTTAGTGGCAAACAATACAGCTGATTTTTATCTGTTACCTCATTCCGCTTTTTTTCTAAGCAGATTGGCATCTTCGGCATCTACATTATATAGGTCCGAGGTAGCCTACTAAATCAGGACGCTTAGTGATTATAACGATCACATGCGTTTGGGGTCATCCAGCTCTGGCCCCTCACTTTGTAGAATAAAGGCAAAAGTAATTCAATTATTTACCATTTCTTGTCTGATTACTCTCACCCTTATTGAAGCTCTATGTAGCTATTCAAGGAGATCTGGGCGGAAGCATATCTTGGATTCAGATGGTGGCACTGACATTTCAGTTACAGTGTGTTACCCATCTGCCCCAAACCTTCCATGTAAGAACGGACATGCTCTCACCTCTACACATGTCTGTGTCCGTGCAGCCCCGCCTTTGGCAAGCCCTAAAGAAAATATTTGCTTTCCTTTAAACACTGAGCAGGTGAGAGGACTAAAAGTCCAATAGAATTTACCTATTTAGCAAACACTTGGATAGTGTTTACTAGGTGGTTTCTAATATTAATTCCCACAGCAACTATCATTCTCTCCATTTCACAAATGGAGGAACTAAGGCACAGAGCCCAGCATGGTGGAATAGATACTTAAATGTGGGTGGTCTGGCTCCAGAGTCCTGGCTTAATCGCCATCCTGCTGACGCTCACTGACCTGGATGCAAAGCCAGGGAACCATGGGACCTAAGCTGGACACCCAGCTCAAAGCTGGCAGCACAGTGGCAAGTGCACAGGCCCTGGGCTCCCACTTTGACTCTGCCATCCTTGAAGTAGAAGGCCCAAGTTCATACCTGTACAGGGTGCACAGCGACCTCAGTGGGAGAATGAGAGTAAATGAGGCCACATAAGAGAAGGCATATGGTCCATGGTGGGCTAGGGACCCCTTATTAAAATTGCTACTTCCTCTCATCCCATTTGGTCCTTTAGGATAAGAAAAGGCATGCAGCCCTTTAGTGCATTCAGTAAAACATAACCATAAACCATGAGAGGTGCCAGTTCCATTTACTGGAATTATAGGAACAGTTAGGAATTTTATCAATATTATTTTCCTTTACTAAAGAAAATAGAGCTTGCCCTGACCGGTCTGGCTCAGCGGATAAAGTGTCGGCCTGCGGACTGAAGGGTTCCAGGTTCGATTCCGGTCAAGGGCATGTACCTGGGTTGCGGGCACATCCCCAGTAGGGGGTGTGCAGGAGGCAGCTGATCGATGTTTCTCTCTCATCGATGTTTCTAACTCTCTATCCCTTTCCTTTCCTCTCTGTAAAAAATCAATAAAACATATTGGGGAAAAAAAAAGAAAAAGAAAATAGAGCTTGGGTTCTGCCCCATATTCTTTTTAAGGATAAGTCCAAAGTTAAGTTGTCCAGAAGTCAGTCTGACCTGCAGTCCACTTGCTGCAAAAGAATGAGAAACACAACCTGGCCGGCGTGGCTCAGTGGTTGAGTGTTGACCTATGAACCAGGAGGTCATGGTTCAGTTCCCCGTCAGGGCAAATGCCCAGGTTGTGGGCTCGGTCCCCCAGTAGGGGGCGTGCAGGAGGCAGCTGATCAATGATTCTTTTTCATCACTGATATTTCTATCTCTCTCTCTCCATTCTCCCTTCCTCTCTGAAATCAATAAAAAAAACCATATATTTTAAATCAATAAAAATATATATTTCTTTAAAAAAAGAATGAGAAACACGTTGTCAGAAAGCAAACTTCCATAAACGTCAATGTAGAAACTTGCAAATCCTGCCAACAGTGACAGTCACTATTAATGTCTCCATAGGAGCAACCACATATGAAGCAAAACTGTTAACCTCAGCACGTTTCAAAAGAATGGTACTGATCATTTTTTTAAAAAAAATATTTTATTGATTTTTTACAGAGAAGAAGGGAGAGGGACAGAGAGCTAGAAACATTGATAAGAGAGAAACATTGATCAGCTGCCTCCTGCACACCCCCCACTGGGGATGTGCCCGCAACCAAGGTACATGCCCTTGACTGGAATCGAACCAGGACTCTTCAGTCCACAGGCCGCAGCTCTATCCACTGAGCCAAACCGGTCAGGGCCTGATCATTTTTTTTATAGGTTTATTCCTGGCCCATGAAAAGACAGGGACTACTCATGGGGAAATCAATTGCACACTTTTTAAAAAATCTCAACTCTATTGTACATCAAGAGCTGTATTGCCAAAATACATATCAAGGAAAGACAAATCATTCCAGGAAATGTGGCTTTTTAACCTTTTTCAGCGTAATTACAATTGCACAAAATAGCAAATTTCTAAAAGCAAATGAAACTTCTGGTCAAACATGGCATAACCCCACTGAGACAAAGAGAAATGAAACAGGGGTTAAGAGATCTGAACGTAATTTTGGAAGACAGAAAGCCAGCAGGAAAGGAGTGGCGCAGCAGAGGAAGCACGGACGCCTGCGTGCCTGCAGACGGTGACCTGCTGAGGAGTGAGCAGCGGTATCTGTAATCTAGAACGGCTCAGGAGCTGGAGGCCCAGCTACCGCTGAAAAGCGAGAGGCAACACAGTGAAACAGGAGATTGGCCAAAAGTCTCTATAAAAAAGCAGGAAGGCTCCAAGCGTGCCCCTCAACCTAGACCAATGAGTGACCACCACTCCCCACCCCTAAAGGAGACTGTGTTTATTCTCTGGGGAGATTGAACCCAACAGCCTCTGGACTTGGGACCATTGGGACCGTGGGAAGTGGAGTGAGGCACAAGACTGCAAATAGGGCCACAAAGTGAAACCTTCAAGCTGAACAATGAGACCCCAAACCACTTTTTTCTGTCTGGTTTCCACCAGCAGACATCTGTGTACATCACTCACTGGGAGGAGTTAGGGGGCCCATTTTCCTCTGTAAAACGAAATGGCCTCAGATATGGAAAAGGCAAAATTACAGAGGTGGTAAACAGATCAGTGGTTGCCAGGGGGTTGGGGGGAGTGGGAGGCTGAATAAGCGAAGCACAGGGGAGTTTTAGGGCAGTCAAACTATTCTGTATGGTGCTGTAACCGTGAATACATGACACAATACTTTGTCAAAACAATAAATCAATAAAAATACCTGTCTAAAAACCCATAGAACTTTACAGAAAAAAATGAACTTTTATGTATGTGAACTTTTAGAAAAGTGATTTAGATCAGAGATGTAATACAGACTGACAAAAGAACCTAACTGTACTATAAATGTATGAAAAAGCCTCGTTGAAGAGGATGGGAAGATGCTAACCTAACAATC